AAGAGAAGGCTGAGGGGAGACCTTATCAATGCCTACAAGTATCTCAAGGGAGGGTTGAAGGAGGAGGGAGCCAGACTCTTTTCAGTGGTTCCCAGTGAGAGGACGAGGGGCAATGGGCTCAAGTTGGAACAGAAGAGGTTCCACTCAAATATGAGGAGAAACTTCTTCACGGTGAGGGTGACAGAGCCCTGGAACAGGCTGCCCAGGGAGGGTGTGGAGTCCCCTTCCTTGGAGATTTTCAAGACCCGCCTGGATGCTCCTGAGTAACATGCTCTAGCTCTAGGCAATCCTGCTTCAGCAGGGGAGTTGGACTAGATGATCTCTATGGTCCCTTCCAACTCTAAAATTCAGTGAAAATTCAGTGAAATGCTCATGGATTCCCAAAAAATCGAGGCCCCCCACAGCCCCAGTGCCCAGGCAGGAGGTGACCAGCTCACACCGTACCTTGGTGTAGTGGAACTGCATGGGGTCATCTGTGGAAAGGGACACCATGAGGCCCTTCTGGTGGAAATCGAGCAATGGGTTCTTCGCATACTCCAGGAAGAGGCTGTTGTTGCTGAGAGGGGACATAGCGATGGGAATCTGGGCAAGGAAGTACAGGTACTGCAAGACGGGGCTCTGCGAAAATGAGGAGAGTTGCCAGGTTAAGGATGACGTTGCTGCCCTTTCCACCTCCAGGGTCACTCCTCAGATCAGCCCAGCACCCCAGCCAGGAAATGTGCTGCACAGAGCTCACGTGCTAGAAGAGAGATAGACAAGCTACAGTCTTCTGGGGCCCACACGAGACCAAGTGAGTTCAAACCTGTCTGATTTCAGAACTCAGCTGGCTCCAGTGATCACAGACATATCCAGTGATAGGTCTGTGAGGCTGAACCCCTGAAATCTGAGTACATTTCTCAGCTACATCCCCCCACACACCTGGAGAAACACAGAAAATCATGTAATATCTGCCTGAAGCCAAGCTGGCTGTGTCAGTCTAGTGCAGAGCACAGTTAACTGTCAGCTATAGTGAAGACCAGCTGTGACAAGTTTTCCTCTGCCATGCCTGGGCTGCTCTCTGGCAGACTGCTCTACTCACCTTCTTGAGGTTGAGACCATGGGAGATGTTATCTGCTGTCATGAAGGCTGTAAGCAGATGTGTGAGGGCCCCGGCTTCCCCACAGTGTGGACGGAAGAGGAACGTGTTCATGCCACGCTGCCTAAGCACATGGAAGAAGGACTCAGAGAAGGCAAGCAGCAGGGTTAGGTGGCATGTGATGCAAGATTCCCTGACATCAGGTCCAGCTCTGCTTCTACCAGTGGGACCCCAAGAATCCAGCTTGACCTAGAAGCACATTATTTGTTCTCTTTTCTCCTCTGTGCAGAGATGCATCTCTGCAATCCCAAAGTTTTCACCCCAGTCCATCACGCTTCCTGCCGAGGAGTGTTTGGATTGCTCTGGGACATGAAGCTCCAAGCTATGCTGTGGCAGGGCAAGGAGGGCCCCACTTCTTCCACAGCAACAATCAAAGAAATGACACATCTCATGAGGCAGCCCCATACCTACCATCATAGGTAGCTTAGCAGATCCTGGGCCTCACCTGCGTAGGTTGTTGAGCACTAGGATGTTGGCATACATATAGTATAGATAGTAGGTGTAGGATGGGTTCTTCTCAGAAGTCCACTCTTTTGGCTTTGGGCTTTTAGTGCAGAACATGTGTCCACTATGCTTGGATTCATCATCCACGCTGTCGAAGCCAGTGATCTGCTTGGCAAAAATAACAAAAAAGTTGCATCTCAAAGCTCCACACCTCATCATGCCCAGGTGGGCTGGCTCACCCTGCCCCACTGCAGCTTGCCACAGCCCAGCTGTAGCCTGTCCCCCTGCTCCAACCAAGAGCAGAGCCAGGGCAAGGCTGCAGACCTTGCTCCTCACAAATGTCCAAGCTCTATCAAGGGCTAGAAATAGAGCTCACACCAAACACCTCTGCAGGAGGGGAGTGGGCAGCATTTCTCACAGCCCCACAGCAGCCAGCTCAGAGTCTGCCCCCCCCAGAACTTCTGGGCACACACCTGCTTTCCCAAAGTGTGGCACAAGCCCACTGATGACATTTTCCATGTCAGTGCCAATACCCAATTTCTTGTGTAATGTGAGTGCTCACCACACCCTGACGACATCGCCAGGTGACACTCACGTGACGTAGAAAGACACTCAGCTCCTTGTGGGACTGGGGATTGACAGTTGCCTCAAACACGGGAACAAAGATATTTTCCAGCATCTTCTCAAAGTGTGGGAGGAAATTCTTAGACCTGAACACATCGCTGTGGGCAGAGAACAGGGATTAGCTGCTAGCAGAGGAACAACATAGCCCCAATAATCCCTTGAGGAAAAAAAATGAGGTATAGTAAGGCACAATTAGGCACAGGGCTCCCTCAAACCCACAGCACATACTAAATCCTGGGTACTTGGATCATCCACTTCATGTTGGGGGAGTAGACCCGGTGGTTGTTGAACCAGCTGGCTAGCTTGGGCCACTCCTCAGCCGATCGCCCGTAGATTGAGAGGCGAGGCTCTGCGTGCTGGTACTTGGCATCCTCCAGATCAGAGCCAACCTCCTGCAACACAGAAACAGTTGCATGGGGACCCTCCAGCCGCTGGGCACAGCAGCACCACAGGCTTGACTGCTCTCTCCTCCCCTGGATGCTCACCTTGATGATGGTAGCGAAGTACTCGCCGTTGATAGCATTCTCTGTCTTCAGGTAGAGGTCCCGCAGCTCACTTGCACCCACAGGGTTATACTTGTCGTTGAACTTGTCAAAGCGCTGAAATGTCTGGCGCCCCTGGAGCAGGGAGGATGGGTGGTGAGTACCACACACACACACACACACGGGGTCCAAGCATAGCAGCTGAGCAGGGGCTGATCCAAACAACCCAAAATGGGAAAGCCAGGAGCTGCTACATCCTGCCACAAGCACTAATGTGCACGTCAGGGGTACAAAAGGAGAGGAAAAGCCATGCCTACAGGGGTGGATGAGAGGGACCCAAGAGTGGGTGCCCTACCACTTACAGCATGGACATCCAGGGAATCCACTGTCAGGTCGCTGGCTGTGTCAGTCTAGTGCAGAGCACAGTTAACTGTCAGCTATAGTGAAGACCAGCTGTGAACAAGTTTTCCTCTGCTATGCCTGGGCTGCTCTCTGGCAGACTGCTCTACTCACCTTCTTGAGGTTGAGACCATGGGAGATGTTATCTGCTGTCATGAAGGCTGTAAGCAGATGTGTGAGGGCCCCGGCTTCCCCACAGTGTGGACGGAAGAGGAACGTGTTCATGCCACGCTGCCTAAGCACATGGAAGAAGGACTCAGAGAAGGCAAGCAGCAGGGTTAGGTGGCATGTGATGCAAGATTCCCTGACATCAGGTCCAGCTCTGCTTCTACCAGTGGGACCCCAAGAATCCAGCTTGACCTAGAAGCACATTATTTGTTCTCTTTTCTCCTCTGTGCAGAGATGCATCTCTGCAATCCCAAAGTTTTCACCCCAGTCCATCACGCTTCCTGCCGAGGAGTGTTTGGATTGCTCTGGGACATGAAGCTCCAAGCTATGCTGTGGCAGGGCAAGGAGGGCCCCACTTCTTCCACAGCAACAATCAAAGAAATGACACATCTCATGAGGCAGCCCCATACCTACCATCACAGGTAGCTTAGCAGATCCTGGGCCTCACCTGCGTAGGTTGTTGAGCACTAGGATGTTGGCATACATATAGTATAGATAATAGGTGTAGGATGGGTTCTTCTCAGAAGTCCACTCTTTTGGCTTTGGGCTTTTAGTGCAGAACATGTGTCCACTATGCTTGGATTCATCATCCACACTGTCGAAGCCAGTGATCTGCTTGGCAAAATAACAAAAAAGCTGCATCTCAAAGCTCCATGCCTCATCATGCCCAGGTGGGCTGGCTCACCCTGCCCCACTGCAGCTTGCCACAGCCCAGCTGTAGCCTGTCCCCCTGCTCCAACCAAGAGCAGAGCCAGGGCAAGGCTGCAGACCTTGCTCCTCACAAATGTCCAAGCTCTATCAAGGGCTAGAAATAGAGCTCACACCAAACACCTCTGCAGGAGGGGAGTGGGCAGCATTTCTCACAGCCCCACAGCAGCCAGCTCAGAGTCTGCCCCCCCCAGAACTTCTGGGCACACACCTGCTTTCCCAAAGTGTGGCACAAGCCCACTGATGACATTTTCCATGTCAGTGCCAATACCCAATTTCTTGTGTAATGTGAGTGCTCACCACACCCTGACGACATCGCCAGGTGACACTCACGTGACGTAGAAAGACACTCAGCTCCTTGTGGGACTGGGGATTGACAGTTGCCTCAAACACGGGAACAAAGATATTTTCCAGCATCTTCTCAAAGTGTGGGAGGAAATTCTTAGACCTGAACACATCGCTGTGGGCAGAGAACAGGGATTAGCTGCTAGCAGAGGAACAACATAGCCCCCATAATCCCTTGAGGATAAAAAATGAGGTATGGTAAGGCACTATTAGGCACAGGGCTCCCTCAGGACATCGCCAGGTGACACTCACGTGACGTAGAAAGACACTCAGCTCCTTGTGGGACTGGGGATTGACAGTTGCCTCAAACACGGGAACAAAGATATTTTCCAGCATCTTCTCAAAGTGTGGGAGGAAATTCTTAGACCTGAACACATCGCTGTGGGCAGAGAACAGGGATTAGCTGCTAGCAGAGGAACAACATAGCCCCCATAATCCCTTGAGGATAAAAAATGAGGTATGGTAAGGCACTATTAGGCACAGGGCTCCCTCAGACCCACAGCACATACTAAATCCTGGGTACTTGGATCATCCACTTCATGTTGGGGGAGTAGACCCGGTGGTTGTTGAACCAGCTGGCTAGCTTGGGCCACTCCTCAGCCGATCGCCCGTAGATTGAGAGGCGAGGCTCTGCGTGCTGGTACTTGGCATCCTCCAGATCAGAGCCAACCTCCTGCAACACAGAAACAGTTGCATGGGGACCCTCCAGCCGCTGGGCACAGCAGCACCACAGGCTTGACTGCTCTCTCCTCCCCTGGATGCTCACCTTGATGATGGTAGCAAAGTACTCGCCGTTGATAGCATTCTCTGTCTTCAGGTAGAGGTCCCGCAGCTCACTTGCACCCACAGGGTTATACTTGTCGTTGAACTTGTCAAAGCGCTGAAATGTCTGGCGCCCCTGGAGCAGGGAGGATGGGTGGTGAGTACCACACACACACACACACACGGGGTCCAAGCATAGCAGCTGAGCAGGGGCTGATCCAAACAACCCAAAATGGGAAAGCCAGGAGCTGCTACATCCTGCCACAAGCACTAATGTGCACGTCAGACCACACACACACACACACACGGGGTCCAAGCATAGCAGCTGAGCAGGGGCTGATCCAAACAACCCAAAATGGGAAAGCCAGGAGCTGCTACATCCTGCCACAAGCACTAAAGTGCACACCATGGGTACAAAAGGAGAGGAAAAGCCATGCCTACAGGGGTGGATGAGAGGGACCCAAGAGTGGGTACAAAAGGAGAGGAAAAGCCATGCCTACAGAGCATGACCCAAGAGTGGTCTTACACTAAATGCCCTACCACTTACAGCATGGACATCCAGGGAATCCACTGTCAGGTCATAGGGGTGCAGATTGAGCTGCTGGAAAAGCTGTTTCAGGGTGAGTTGTTTGCCGTTGGCATTATAAACGACACGGTCAGCATCCACACAGTATGATTTCTTGATGAAGCGCAGAAGATGCTTCTGGTTCATGCAGGCTGCAGCGTGGATGTGTGTGTCCACCTGAGAAACCAGAAGGACAGCCATTTAGCTTCGAGTTGGGATGCTGCAGTACTGTCACAGGGACAAAACCCTGTGGGTTTTAACAAACCCCTTGGGTGAGCCCAAGCTGTGTGGGGAGCCCGGCTCAGCCCAGCAGTCAGCACCATCCCGTTAGCAGGAGCAGTGTAGCTGCCACAGAGCTTGACTCTTGATATCCAGTTCTCTCAAGGCACCAAGACAGCTCATCTTCAAGAGTCCCTAGGGCTGTAAGCCTTGCCATTTACCTTCCGGCAGTTGTAGAAGTCCCGATGGGGGTTGTTCTTTAGCTCTTTCATTTCTTCCATCTCATTTAGCATTTCATGCACTTGGAACTTGGATGAGAGGAACTTTAGGCGCCGGTGAGTGTAGGTCTTGCTAGTGAAAGCAAAGAGTAGAACGGTGGTGGGGCTCCTTTCCCTCAGCACAGGGGCACAGCCCTTCAAACACAGGGATGCAGCTTCCACTTGAGGTGGAGGAGCTCATGCTGGCCTGGCCTGCATCCCTAAGGTGTTGCTTCTGCTCCATCACAGAGCTTCCAAGGAAGGCCTGACCAGGTGTAAACATCCCTGCAGGGCATGGCTCCAACCCCTGAATGCTGGGCACATTCCCAATCAAGATGGCCAACAAGGGCCAAGAACGCTTTGGTAGCCAGCAGGCTGCAGGGATGGAATCAGCAGGTTTCCCTCCCAGGCAGAGGGGGGACAGCCCTGGCTCTGCCCTGCCCTCCACCCACCAAGGCAGGAGCTGTGGGCTGCCCCCAGCAGTGCTGGGTTGTGCACTTACACAGGGCCCTTGGCAATCAGGGCCAGGAGGAAGTTCATGTCATCAAGGAAGTGCTCGAGGCTGAGGTAGGGCAGGTCCTTTGGCTCATTTCTTTCAGCCGCTGCCTTGTCTCCGTAGATGTAAACTACCCCATCCTTCATCTGGATATGGTATCCCAGGTCTTCAGGGAGATTCCCAGTTTCAAAGGGATCCTGTCCATCCTTCACTGGTGGGGTGAACACTGGACCAAAAGGAGAATACCATGAGGCACGAGCTGCCAGCCAAAACCCCACATGCCTGCCACGCTCTTCCACCCCAGGCAGAGGGCAGGGGCAGCCCTGACACTGAAGAGAAGGCCTGGGCAAGCAACTCCCCTGTGGAGCTCCTCCGCAGCCCTTTTCTGACCCATGCCCACCCCATGCTGAAGCCAGAGAGGAAAACCCTCCAAGTGCTTGGATGTACCTGGGCCAATGTCACTTGCCCTCCAGACCTCGCCTTCGATAGCACGCAGGTACTGAGACGGGGTCCTGGGGAACCTCTGGAGAGACTGCTGCATGTATTTCTCCCGGATGCAGAGAGCACGGTACAGGCCTTTGCAGACAACTTCAAAATCTTCAACTGTCACCTGCAAGAGGGCTGTTGCTGAACGCAACCACACAGCTGGAAGCTGGCTGGCTGAGAGATACCTTGGTGCACCAAGATGAGAAGGGGACATCCCCTCCCTCACACAGCTCTGCCTGAGCAGGGCAAAGAAGGGGTAACAGGCAAAGTCCTAGACGTGGCAGAGGGAAGTTCCTCACACCAGGAACAACGCATTCCAGATGTCACCCTCTCTTACATTCTCCACTGCAAACTGTACCTGGCACTGAAATGGAAGGCAGGCCTGGGCAAAACCCTACAAGCTATTTTTGGAGCCCAGGCTGAAACTGAAGCAGGACCAACAACACACACTGATCCAACATGTCAAAGACTTTTTGATTTACTGCACAGACAAGTGTTTTGGGCAGTCAGGAGACAGCAGACTGGAGCAGCATGGGACAATACCCTGCAGCACTCACTGCAGTTATAGCAGAAGGAACGTGCTTGTGCATGGAGGGGCTTCCAGCTTCCCCTAATTGCTCCTCTGCTCTTCAACTCCAGGCTGAGCAACCTGCTCCAGCCCAGGAGGGAGTGCCCTGCCAGCTGTATCTCAGCAGCAGCACAAATGTAATAGGAGGCTGTGGAGGAGGAGAAGGAGGAATTGGCACAGGACGTGACAGCGGTCCTGGTCAACTGGCTCCAGGTGACTCTGCCAGAGCAGATGACCTCCAGAGGTCCCTGCCAGCCTCAACCCTTCTAGGATTTTGTGATGCACAGAGATCTCAGACAGATCTCTTGTGCGAGCAGGAGCAGGCTGTGACAGAGCGAGCATCACCTGCCCTGCCTTGCCCTCCCCTCTGCCTGGAGAATCCCATGGGAAGCACGCAGCACCCCACAGACTCCTGCTGAGGAATTCAGCTCCGGATCCTCCAGGGATGTAGCAGGGCACCATCAGATGCCCATGAGACACAGACTGAGCTGGAAGACACAGACTGTCCTCACTGTACCTGGTACAGACCCCTGTGACCCCAGGAGCTACTGAGGGTAGGTTCTAGATGAGGTGTTAAGATGGGGAAGGGTCAGGAGAGGGAAGGCCAGGCAAGTACCTACCCCAGAGGCATAATCCCCTGTGATCTGTACCCGCTGGAAGTCAGGCACAGTCTGGTACAGGGGGGAGGTAGAGATGACCTCATCGATAGTGGACAGTCTGGTTATAGACCTCTGAGCCACAGGGACCGCCAAGGCGATTGTCTTCATGCGGAACAAGCGCTTCTTCCTGCCGGGGAGGAAAGTCTGAGGCCAACAGCCCCAACTCCATGGCCACACGCATGTGCAGGGTCAGGAGCACTTAAACAGCCACGTTCCAACTGTGCACAACATGAATCATCTCACTGGTGGTTTCTGAGCACCCTAAACAGACACTGCCCCAACAGCAGAGGCCACAAAGTAGCCACAGACATTCAAGCATGGTTTTTCCAGTCACACCTTTCCAGAGAAAGGTCTCCCAGTCTCCCTCTCCAACAGCTTTGTGGCCAGGGCTGTGCTGACACCCAGGGAACAGGCCAGGGGTGTCTTTCAGTCCAACAGTGGAAACAGTGGGAGATGTGGTTTTGGGGGATATGGTGTAGGGGAGAACTTTGTAGAGTAGGGTTGATGGTTGGACTCGATGATCCCAAGGGTCTTTTCCAACCTAAATGATTGTATGATTGTATGTATGAAACCCTGAAACCTGGCAGATGCCCTGGGATTACCAAGGATTCATCCCATGGGTGCTGTGGGCTGTTTTCACTGGCCTGGATGTATTCTTTCTTCCAGCTCCAGCTAGGGACCTGCAGACAACACTCCTCTCTTTTCCCCAACCGCCCTGTTTGTTGCTCACCGCTTTTCTGCAGAGCTCTCGTGAAGTATCATGTGCTCTCTCATTTCCTGGCGTGAGATGGGGCAGATGTCTTCCACGTCAAAAGGAGAGATCTCTTGCCTGGTTTCCTCATCTTTCACCTCAGAGGCAAAGACCTTCTCTGCGAAGGAGCGCATTGCCTCGTCTATCTCTGCAAGGAAAAGGGACAGAGTGCAGGGTCACACAGGCATATGGTGCCCAGCCACCATCCAGGCAGGTGAACCTCAGCCATCATGGCCTTATGACACTTACACCTCCATGCTGCCTGGAAGACTCTGAGCAACAAGCTTACAGAACCTGTGCCACACATAACCACTGGAGACATACCTACACACCCCCAGCACTCCAGAAAAGGCAAAAATACACCCCACAGCCCAAGAGTAGCACAAAAAGGCCCAGAAAGAAGCACAGCCTTGGGAAGGGCACTTAGGAGAGCATGCACTGGGGGAAGAGGAGAAGATTGACAGAGCCCTCACAGTTCTGGGAAGCCCAAGACCCACTTGTTCCACAAGGCATCCAGAAAGGATGAAGACAGAGCTATAGATGGAGAAGGAGAGAGTTGGCAGCCCAAGAACTTGGTTCCCACCATCACAGTGCAGCTGAAGAGCACCCAGCCAGGGAACCATCATGTGGACTCGACCCCTCTCAGCCCATCACCTGCAGCATGCTCAAAGGTGCCAGCTAACATGGCCCTGTGCAAGCCACCATTGACACAAGGGTGGCTGGAGCTTTTTGAAGTAGGAGAAAGAAGGTTAAAAGCCCTTCCACTGCAAACAAAGTACCATAAAACAAGAACCCGAGGGCTCTTGTGGCAACATCTCTTGGAAGCACACATTTTCATAGCACACATGGACACTAATCGAGCAGGAACACCAGCAGTCAGCAGCTCAGCATGAAGTGCCGTGAGGATCGGTGCTGAAGGATGGACCACACCATTGACATGTCAAACAGGACATGGTCAGTGGATAAGGACCAAAGCAGAAAGGACTGACGTGCGCGGCAGAAGCATGCCAGACCTACAAGAGATTTTCAGCAAGAAAGTAGCCTTTTTTTTTTTCCCACAGGGTGTTGGGGGGGTTCAAACCAGTTTATCCCTGTAGCCCTGAATTTGTAGTTCCAAGGTCCAAGCTGTGGGTTGGGGAGGCACAACACAGGGGCTTCCTTTCCCTGCTGCTGTACGGTCAGGCAAAGGGGCTTGTGTTGAGCTACAAACATGTGGGAAAATTCTTGCACAAGGTCCATTTCTTAGCAATGTAATGTCACAAAAATAGGATTTCAGTAACAAAAGTTGTTGTTGTAAAGCCGCTGTATCAATGGGTCCCAACATGTTTCTTAGAAGAAAAAAATGCAGGGTTTTTTCACTCTCCCGTTATTTCCCATTGTTAGGGACTCTGGGATGACAAGTGTCCAACATGTTTCTTAGAAGAAAAAAATGCAGGTTTTTTTCACTCTCCCGTTATTTCCCATTGTTAGGGACTCTGGGAGGGACTCAGCAAGAAATCTTTTCTGCTGACGCATAAAACCTCAGCAAACATGAAGGAGGAAGAAGAAGGCAGGGGCACCATATTGCAAACTTCAACCTCAGTAAAGGAGATGAAGCATTAATCTGTCCTCAGGCAGGGGCACCATATTGCAAACTTCAACCTGAGTAAAGGAGATGAAGCATTAGATCTGTCCCCTCGTGGATCAAATGCACTCAGAGCAGGATGCATTCAAAAGAAGTTATATTAGGCTGGATCTCTGTTGTTTTTTTTTTAAAAAGGGGAAAAAAAAACCAACCCAAAACCAAAGGTGTGAATAGGTGCAAGGGAAATTGCAAAATGTTTCACTTTCTGCCACAAAGAACTCCAATCAAAAAATTGGAGTTCTGTGCAGGAGCTCAGGCACGCTAGGACAATATTCAGCAAAGAGCAGCTTCATATATCAAAGCTGGAACCATTCCATGAAACAGCGAGGAGCACAGCTGGCACTGCTGAGAAACAGCATCTTCTCAACCTGCTGAAAGATCCCCATGATCATGTAACTGCTGTTGCTTTCCAATGATCATGTCTAGGCAGGACCACAGCAGAGCGTACAAAAAGTCTAGCAATACTCACCTTTGTCTTCTGCTGTTTGAGATAAAACAGAAACAAAACCAGATGTGATCAGCCCTCTAAAAGCCTTTTTGCCTCATCATCACATCAATGATTAAAAAGGGGTTAAGTACAAGTTTAGCCAAAGCCTGCCCCTTACAAAGGAACGAACAGTACTTGTCACTTTGTACAATATAAAGGTGTGAGTTCAGTGTTTACTCTTCCACGATACAGCCTCAGGTGTGCACATAAAGGAGCCACATCACAGGTACCATCCAACCTGAGGCTGCCTTCAGCAGCCCCTGGGTTTCCCTCCAGCTGCCCAAGGGAACAGCATTTTCTAGAACCTACATCACCTCGGTCAACACTATGGGCAACTAACAGATACCCAGTCATCTAATAAGATTGTCTTGTCTTGGAAGGTCTCTCCCTACTCCTGTGTCCAGGCAGAGGGATGCAGAAGAACATAGGAACAACTTATGAGGGCAGAACAGGATTCTCCTGCCTCAACACTCAGTTATTGTCCATGACTTGCCATCCTTTGTGAAGATCAGGATGGATGGTCATTTGAAAGATGCCGAGTTCCATCCTCCTATGGTCACATCTCCACTTCTTCACTAACAGCATCAGACAGCTGAGACACTGCAGTTCCACAGACCTTCACTCCTGGTCATACAGTGTGGCATCAACATTTTGGGGATGCAACTCATGCCCTTTCCATCCGACCCAGAAAATTCAGCCTGGAGCTCTGGCGTCACAAGCCACCAGCTGCTGACTTCCCCCAGTCCAGCCTGCAGAACAGACTCTCCCGGCATTTGAACTCCACATATTCATTTGCAAACTAAGCATCCCAGAAATGCCAAGTTTGACCTTTCCTCTCTTTTAGTGGATGAAAATTGCGCTCATGAAGGTCAACGAACTCCCACTGATGTTGCAGGGCCAGGCTTTCCTACGTTCACGTGGGACAGTGGCTGTCACACCACACCAGCACTGCCAAGTCCAAGCACACTCTTATCAGAACTGTTTGGTGCTGATATTCCCCGGGGCTCTGCGATGGCATCACAGCCCCCTCTGTGCTGCACAGCCCCTCTGGCCCTGCTCCTGCTGCCCACCCTGCATCCCCATCCCCTGCACCCACATCTCAGCTTAGCCAGGTTGACCAGAGACTCCCCAAACCCCTCGGACCCCTTCACAGTGATGGTATCATTACAGGATACATCACACTGCAGGAGAGGACACTGAATATTTTTCTTCAGTATGAGCAGAGTAATATTTAAACAATAATGCTATTTCTTTGCTGCACTATCCAAAAATGTCTCCAATCAGGAAGAAAAACACTCAAAACCCCCAGCGAGGTCCCCTGGAGCACACAGATACCACAAAATCTCAGCAGCTGCTGACGAGCCTGCCCTGTGGCTCCTTGTCTCACTAATTGCTTTCAGACCTACCTGGAATTCTCACCCGTGACATCTTTCCAGCAAATTTGTAAAGCAGCAAGTAACACCCTACAGTAACAGAGCACAAGTAGCCAACTGACTGCACAACAGCCTAACACTAATTTTACTCCTTTCCCTTCCCTGTAATTAGACTCTCCTGCTCTAAAAGGAGAGCTGAGGTCAGATGTAAGACTATTTAAAGTGCAACCACAAGCACTTGCACTGAAACAGGTGAAACCATGGCTCAAATTTAACTTTTTTTTTTTTTTTTTTTAAATTAGTTAGGCTTTCATTTCACTTTTAGTAGCATTTCACCTGTTGTCTGGCCAGATTGCTACTTCCCAGGACTGCAGCACCTTCCTAAAGTGGAAGTCAGTTTTTTAGGAGACAGGAAAACTGCTGTCTGCTGTGCTGAGCCAATGGTTAAAGGAAATCCCTAAGGCACAGGGCTGATTTTTTCATCAGAAGAGGAGCTGGGGGTAGATACAAACAATGTGCTCTCACCAACCCACGTGTGCTATTCAGAGAAGATTTCTCCTGAGAGGGACCTACTTGAAAGGCTGGATTTTAGCAACAAGAGTGGCACAAATGTCCTCGCATCTTCCCAGCTGAATGAAACAAACAAACAAAGGGAAAGTGAGAGGAGCTGTATTTTGTTCCTGAGGTTTTCAGGAACTGTGTTTATAAAAATTTGTATCTTTATAGTAAGGTGATATTCAGTTCTGTGCGTGGTGAGCTATAACCAAGGCATATCTTACAGAGACCAGCAGTTAGTACAATCCAAGGTGTTGCAAGAAGCTCCTCCCTTAAGCTACACATTGTAGTGTGGGTCTGGCAGAGCAGGGCAGTGGTTTGGGAAGTACCTCTCGACTTGTTTTAAGTTGATTTTTTCTCACATACAGGCATTGAGGGCTGTACCCAGTCCTTTAGGGTCTCCTCAAACCATCTTCAGCTCTCACATGAACTTGGAAAGCTCCTGTCTTAAGGAAAATGGCCGGAATTTGTAGTGCATTGCATGTTGCCAGGGTAACTCTGAGCTTCTGACTCAGCTTCCTGGTGGGAAGTGGTAAATCTAAACAGGTCAGGAGGATACAATAGTTTTGATTTGAAACAGAGTCTTTTCCTGTTTGTTTATACTTCACTTCTTGATGGAGTTGAAAAACGGCACTGAAATCAGGACAAGTCAAGCAAAGCATCCTGGCTGTAGCCATATCATAATAGTAAGGTGATATTCAGTTCTGTGCGTGGTGAGCTATAACCAAGGCATATCTTACAGAGACCAGCAGTTAGTACAATCCAAGGTGTTGCAAGAAGCTCCTCCCTTAAGCTACACATCGTAGTGTGGGTCTGGCAGAGCAGGGCAGTGGTTTGGGAAGTACCTCTCGACTTGTTTTAAGTTGATTTTTTCTCACATACAGGCATTGAGGGCTGTACCCAGTCCTTTAGGGTCTCCTCAAACCATCTTCAGCTCTCACATGAACTTGGAAAGCTCCTGTCTTAAGGAAAATGGCCGGAATTTGTAGTGCATTGCATGTTGCCAGGGTAACTCTGAGCTTCTGACTCAGCTTCCTGGTGGGAAGTGGTAAATCTAAACAGGTCAGGAGGATACAATAGTTTTGATTTGAAACAGAGTCTTTTCCTGTTTGTTTATACTTCACTTCTTGATGGAGTTGAAAAACGGCACTGAAATCAGGACAAGTCAAGCAAAGCATCCTGGCTGTAGTCAGCACAGTCACGCTGCCTGTTTGGAAGGTCGTAATGTTGGAGGGAACAGAAAAAACATGGAAAAGACAACGTTGTTTGGAATTACACGTGGACGTAAGGGCTTCCTGTGCTGTATTTTTAGGAACAGCTATGTAAAGGCCTTGTCCCAGAAAACGGCTGGAATAAGTGGAAGAGTTACCCACATGAGATATAGAGCTAGAAACAGCTTTTGTCTGTAGATTCACAGGGACCTTGTGGCACAAGGAGCCAGTGAAGTCAGATGAGCTGCGACCCAGCGCAGCGTCTCCAGCACAGATCATTTCCAGAGCATCCAGAAACTCTCTGTGAAGGATCACTACTCGATGTGCACAATTTCAAAAGATGCTGGTTACGATTGAGACATAAGGGCTTCCTGTGCTGTATTTTTAGGAACAGCTATGTAAAGGCCTTGTCCCAGAAAACGGCTGGAATAAGTGGAAGAGTTACCCACATGAGATATAGAGCTAGAAACAGCTTTTGTCTGTAGATTCACAGGGACCTTGTGGCACAAGGAGCCAGTGAAGTCAGATGAGCTGCGACCCAGCGCAGCGTCTCCAGCACAGATCATTTCCAGAGCATCCAGAAACTCTCTGTGAAGGATCACTACTCGATGTGCACAATTTCAAAAGATGCTGGTTACGATTGAGAAGTTCTCCAGAATTCAGGGGGTCCTACCCCCACTGCCCAAAATTGATTTCCTCCCTTGACACACAGAGGTGCAGCCAACGGGGCAAAGCTGGGCTGCTGTTACACTCTTGATCTGTAATAGCTGGTCTCTTCTCCATACTGATAGCAGTCTTCAGTTTCTGAATTATTTTTGCTCTTACTCATTCCCCAGTTTGTGGGCCCCCACACCACATCATCATTATTATTATTATTATTATTTAACTATTTAATTTAAGGTCAATAAAATCTGGCTCCTGCTTTTTTTGCTCTTCCATAGGGACTCTCTCTGCCCCTAACCTTTCTGGATGTATCAGGATCTTGGGACTTGCATCTGAAACCAAAATTAACCTTTAGGGTACAGGGGTCATCTTCCTCGAGACGCCTGTTGATCCCCCAGCTTTTTAAATCACAGGGTCAACTGCGTTGGGTTCAAGAAATCCGAGTAAAGCCTGGGTATGCTGTGCTAAAGTTAGGACTACCTAAAGCCTCTTTAAACTCAAGTATTAAATACAAACAAGCCATCTTCCCACTCGTTTCCAGCGGGAGAGAAAGTGATTCACACCCAGAGATTTCAGAGGGGCTCTAAACCTTCGTCTCTGAGCTGCCTTCATTCCACCCAGCTCCAGTCAAAGGGAAAAGGCCAAACACGCCAGCAATTTGGCAGCTTAAGGTATTTCGCAGGATCTTCTTCTAGTTCACCTGGCAGAGCAGCCGTGTGACAGGGGCAACTGTCCCAACAGAAGCGTGGAGGCAAGTTTCCCTAGAAAATGGTTTCAATTCCTGAAGGAGAAAAGTATTAACAGAGAGGGGGTAATGTGGAAACTCAACGAGGTCACTCCTTGACGTGCCTTTGACCAGCTGCACCTTGCACCTCAGCAAGTTCTTCTCTCCCCACGTTGCTCTTAGTCATTCCCCACACAGATTTCTCCAGGGCTGGTTAAATCAGCCTCTGTTCCAGTGGGGAACAACAGGCAGTGAGTCCTTGGGGTGTGAAATAGGTTCTAGTAACGGATTGTTACAGGTAACAATCACATCGGGGAAGAGCTTTCCTAATGAGCCAAGAAACCCTTTGCTTTTAAGCTCCCATCTGAGCTGATGTTCTGAATCTCTCCTGGAACAGGCAGTGACTCCTGCAGCCACTCAGTGCAAGGAGTTTTATACCCTGTCACAAGGAGCCCATCCTTAAGTTCCCTGCACAGAAAACTGGACTCTGGGCTCCAGAGGGTGGACACGATGTCTTAGGAGAAACACACTTAAAGCACACTTACTGTGTGGTCCATCTAAACTGGCCATATTGCAGGAGGAAAGACAACCAGGGCAGTGTTTTAGGAGACTGAATTAAGCAACTTAAAAGGCTAACAGCTTGATTTGGACATAACAATAACTTTATAGCTGATGTCACTCTTGGAATATCAAGTAAAGGAACTTCCCCTCACCCTTTTTTTTTTTTGACTTAGGAAGGATCCTTTCCAAGGGCAAAGTCAGCAAATAGAGAGACTCAACACTAACACAAACTGCACAACACAACATGGGACTCCTCAAGAAGCCTATGGTGGGTCTCAAAGCCACTCTCACTGCTTATTCCTGCTACAGTGAACATATACAATATTTGTCAGCTATTGTCAGAAGTGACAATTTGAGTAAATCCTAGATCCCCTGGAGAAAGCAGACAGCATTGTGATAAGCCTTCTGTTGTGGATCCCGTGCCCAGATCACCATCACAAAAGAAACAGTCAAAGAATTCCAAGTTTATTCTTTAAAAAAGTTATTTAAGAAGCAAAATAATTTACTTCAATTGAAACCAAAAGAGATGCATTATTGAAAGCAAATAATTATACAAAGTAACAACAAATTAGCCCTTGGATAAAAAGTCCAGATCCCAACAATTCCCTGGAGGTTACACACACAGTCACTCAGGGCAGAGGGAGCAAAGGGGGACCACGCGCAGCATCAGAACTAATTCCAACTTCTCTCCTTCCTCCCTCAGCCCTGAAGCTGCTTGAAATCTAATTCGAAGTCATTGAACTGCACTAAAAATCATGATGGCTTAATCATCACAGCGACCACCCAAAGTCCTCCTGGTGACATTAAGACCAGAATTTGAGTGCTGTTCTCTGATCAAGACCATGGAGTGGGGACACAAACAGTAAGAAGCCAGAGTTACACGGTCTCGTTAAACAGCTATTCTCAGTCCCTAACAACAGAAACACTTCCTTCAGTTATTGGCACTTGTAATTTTTGAACATTAGCTTTACCCTTTTTTAATATTTTACCCCAAAGTTGTTTATGCCCGTTCTTCTCAGTCAGGACAGCAAAGTTAGCTTGGCACCAACACCATCTTACGCTGTTAGTTCTAAATAACGACATTTGGACTAAGTCTACAAAACCACCTTTTCCAGGGATCTTGCCTTGTGCAAAAACTTCTGTGCTTATCTTCTAAAGAATTTTCCCAAAAGTTCTTGGGGTTTTATCGTGTCTCAGTTGCCACCAAATCAGGGTTCTCTTATACAGAGAGCGGGAAACAAAGTACAACCATTTGCTTCATGCTCACGACCCTACAACACCCCAATTTTGGATTGCTTGCTAGATTTCAACCTTAAATTAATGAAGCTGGGAGTCCCACCTGTGTGGGTCAGCTCTGCAGCACCCAAAAAGCTGAT